TTTTAAAAAAAAAAAAAAAAAAAAAAAAAAAAAAACCATGAAAAAAACAATATTTGAAAAATAAATATACACGAGATTATATAAAGGAAATTGTCTGGTATTTGATTTATTTATTTTTTTGTTTTTTTCAATTCACGATAAGTGTTAATATGATAATATTATGATTTACGGAACGTCGTCCGTTGTGTACTTAAAGGTCGACGTGCCGAACACGGCTGCGACCTTTACGAAAGGTCTTTTTGAAGAGTGAGAGGGAGTGAGAAAGAGAGCGAGAACGGGGTTCGTGCAAAGCCGGGGACTTTGTGTCGGTCGTCCGTGCGTGAAGTCTACGCGAGAAAGTATTAAGTGCCCGGGTCCGTATTTCCCCGGAAACGTTTGATCGGTCCGCGAGAGTCCGACCCGGCCGCACTGCGATTTGACGGCATTCGGACGGACCGTTTTGTCGGTTATAATATAATATTACACCGGACAATATGTGCACAGCGTAGGTACGTTTTCGCGAAAATTCAGGGTAAAGCGTTTGTACACTAATGCCGAAACGCGAAATCGCAAAGCACGGAAACCTGCGAACGCGGTGAAAAAAAAAAAAAAGGAAAAAACGCGTAAGTAGGAACGGCGGTTTCGTTGCGGTAGCCACGCAGAAGTCGTCGTCTCTGCGGGTAAAACGGGTGACTCAACCTAATCCAGATGAACGTGCGACGCGTGCGTCTATAGGTATAACGCTTAGGTAGGTGGCGATAAAAATTATTATTATAGCGTTACGCGAAGAAAAACAAAAAAAAAAAAAAAAAAAAAAGACAATACCGTTGAGTATATACCGCCGAAGACGGTAGTAGAATTAAAAAAAAAACAACGTCGTTCGCAGTTACGCAATGGTCGTTTTTTGCATCGCGTCGCAGTCGCCGCCGCCGTTCCGACGCGGATCATATTGGACACGAACACATTACAGGTACGTCCGTACGCAATAACGTAATACCCGGTCACGGAAGACACGAGAGGAGCGCCGGTCACGTATATACAGGGTGATACACGGGGTATACGGGTTGGTGGGAGGGGGGGGTTTATCACGAACCAGCGGCGGTATGTATACAGGGTAATGCGCGCTTAATATGAACGCCGGATTTAACGGGGCTACAAATCGAATTTGTGGTTTGTTTTTGTACGTCTGCGCGGAAAACTCGCGAAATGAATAACGAAATCAATCCGCTCGTGGTACAGCACGGGCCAAATACGCTAATAATGACGGGAAAACGCGCGTCAACGCGGAACCTCAACGACGGCGGCAGGTTGTCGGTGTTGCTGTCGCGAAAAATGCCGGGCATTTCAAGGCCTGCGTTCTTCGTGAATCGCCCTTGATACGCGAAAATCGCGATTTTGAAATGTTTAGCGATATTTGGAATCGGCGGTCTTAGGTATACACTTTAGGACACTTACAAACTTCGTTGGAGCAGTATATCAGGTTTGGACCAACAAGTAGGTTGCGTTTTGCCGTTTTCCCCCAGCAGCTGTATCTAAACCAGCTTTCGTTTACCGTAGACTCTAATAATATCACGCGTAGGCCCGTAGGTTCGCACACTCTGTAGACACAATAACTACGTTGGAGCAGTATCACGTTTGGACCAACAAGTAGGTTATGTTTTGTCAAATCTTGTTCTCGTACGATTGGCTGATAAACAAAACAATACAAGGTAGGCGGCCAACTGTCGACCGGTAACACGTGTACACGCGGGTTATCATTACGCGGTATGATACGCATGTGTTTACGCGTGTATAGGTAACGCGACAAGCAGCACGAATTCGAACGTTCAATGTCCCCGTGTAAGTTTTACAATCCCGACGACGGTTTCTTTTTATCGGGTACACACATACGCGCTTATTTCTCTCTCTTTTGTGCATTTTTAACGCGTCGCCGGAACGTTTTAGGAGCGCCGAAACCGTTTTTATGGTATGTAAAATGTACGATTTTTTTTTTTTTTTTATAACATATACCTACTCTCAATAATTACGCGAGAAAGTTTTTTTTTATTTTTCCTTCGCGTCGCCCATAATATTATACACACGTTAATTATACGGTATGCGCGTTGCGTAATCGCCTCGGCTTCTTAATACGTTTTATTATTTTCGCGCGCGTATTTCGTTTTCGGTTAATTGCGGTGAACAAATTAAACTAATAGATACACGAGCGCGTACAATATTAATGTTTGAAAAAATCAAAAAAAAAAAATATCTCCACATTATTATGTTACACGACCGTGTTGCGACATTATCATAACGATTTTGCAGTCGTTGTACGGGCCGCGTTACAGAGAACCGTCAGCGCCGAGACGATAATACGATGTCGGTTTGATCATTGCGGTTTCGGGTTTCTTTTACGGAAGAAAAATAAACGGTTTGAAAGAAAAAATAAAAAAAAAAAATCGATAAAATTCGCGCATGTCCTTAGTTACGTGTTCAACGCTAAACGCCAAATGCTGCATTTACAGACGGTACGGAGAAGAGGAAAAAAAAAAAAAAGGTCAGATAAGGTAAGATCTATTTCGCGCGGTACCTAAGTAAATAATACAATATGTGCCGTACGTACCGGTGTACCGCGTATATTTGTGCAACGCACACATGATATACCTGGTGCACCAGCACACACTCGTCCCGTTAATTCGCAAAACTCCATAAATCATCTATGCGTACCTACTTCTACAAAACAAACACCAGTGCAATGCAATTGTCAATCTAGAAAACGTTTGCAATAAATACTGTACACCGTTTTATCTTTTTTTGTTTTTTTTTTTTCTTTTCACATCGGTAAACCATTTAATTAAATAAAACAAACAGATTTTACTCGAATAGTTTTTTGTGAACAAGTTCCCGTATTTTTGCCATTTTTTTTTTTTTTTTTTTTTTTATTTCAAACCGTTTTGTGATACCGATGACGACTGATAACAGCATTGGCCGTCGCCGCCGCATCGCATTAAATGAATTCCAAAAGTCTTTTCGAACAATCGAATAATATAAATAAACTATTGTTACGGAGAAAATTACTTTACAGCGCGATAATATAACGCGAGTTGTTGCTGTCGATAGATTCCAGTCGATCACCAAGCGAACGAAAACCGAACGCGAAAACTGTGTACTCGAACGGAATCTCCGAGGCCGTCCGGACACTCGCCGAAATCCCTAAACGGTTGTGTCATTCATGCACACATGCAGATAAAAAGCGGTGTCGGGATTGCGGTATTATTATTAAAACTATACACTCCCGGAACACTTAATAGTTCAGAATAAAACGCGATACACGGTTCTCAAAGCGCTCACTTCGGACAACGGCGCACCGAATTGCGCTCGTGTTTACCGAGAAATATAACCGGAATTTTCGGACCTTTTCGGCCGCCTTTAAATCGAATCGTTTCCGTCTGTGTCCGTCGCCAAATTAAATAGTTCTCGATTGAATTTCTACAGTGTACATTAACGTTGTACGTAATGTCGGGTCGTCCGATTATTTCGTGAGTTTTCCATTTCGCGTTAAGTCTACATCCGACGATTCATTTTCGTGTTTTCGCCGCGCGCAAATACGTTTAAATGGTATAGGGTTTTTTTTTTTTTTTTTTCGGACGTTTCGTATATGACATTCGTGTTTTACAGCCGACGCGACCGCAAATCGACGACGAGATAACCGATCGTGACGGACCGCAGCTCGCAAATACGGTTACCATCGTAACTGCACGTGTAGGTCCTTCTACCGAAGCGGGAAATGTGTCAGAAAACAATCGCAGAAACGGTTTTGAGCCGACGATAAAATAAGGTTACTGAAACGAAACAACGACAAGAAAACCCCGCCGGAAAAAATACGTACATAGGCTATTAATAAAAATCTAAACGAAAAAAAAAAATCAATTTCTCCTTTTAATAGCAGTTTTTTAGTTAACATTTTACATTTTGTTTTGTTTTACTACAAGCTATTCCCCCATTCAGCGATTCGCGCACTTCAATATTTGATCGATTATCATTGTTACTATAATTTTAACTAATTTTTTTTTTTTTTTTTTTTT